ATCCTCGCCCTGAAGAAGCCCGGAGATTTGATGGCTGAGAATGATTGAGAATGATGGATTCTACATGCATTTTAGCCCTGTATTCACTTGGCCATTATCGTTAGGGATTCTGCTGAGTTCAGGCATTTCTCAAACAATGGGAGTATGTTTCTCAGACCATCCATTTGATACTTGACGAATGGGATTGAAGAGAGAATAGATTAATGTACTTTTCATCTTAACTGTTAATAAAGTTAATACAGCCTGCTGTGTTTCCTCCATTGCTCTCTCTCTAGCCTCTTATTATATTCCCTATGTTTCCTTAAATCTCTCTCATCCCTCTTTCATTTCTCTTTCAGCCTTCTTCCCTTTCTCTGTCCTTGTCTAACAACAACTCTATCTCCTCCCCCCTCCCCCTGCATACATCCACCCCTCAGGCTCGTAACGCCTCTGCTCGGAGCTCGTCCGTGGGGCTGTCTGCATCACCATGCTGCCTGTAAGATTAAAATGTTGATATTGACAAGCCATCTGCTCAGGGGGAATAAATCATCAGGAAGAAGGAAGGAAGAGGGGCAGGGATGAGATCACACTGCTTCGTATGGTCAGCCAGGATTTCCTTTAGACTGTAGGCTACTATGGTACCACAGGTATCACCATTTCATGGACTGCTAGATGTACAGGTTTTTGTTCTGGCTCAGCTGTAACACACATGATTTAAACGAGACGTGGTCTGAATTGAAGAATATTATTCATTAATTACAAAACTGTGCACACACTGCAGCCCTCTAGGACCTCAGTTGCCCACCCTGCACCTTAACCATAGTGGGTTATTCATTCATCAGGTAATCATTGAATAAAAACTTTGTATGATCACAATATAAATATATTTTCGCAAGACACACAGACCCAAAACAGACACGTTCAACTGAAGTGGTGCAGTTGTTGAATTTACCAATCCCATAAACATTACACATAACGCCTTACCCACTACACTTTAGCCCTGTAAAGTGGATAAGGTGTTATGGACAGTGTACAAGGGGCCAATTGGTCAATACTCCAATTATATAGATGAGGCTATCGCCAGGGCAAATGATAGCCAATCAGTGAAGTGCTTTAACCGCACCTCTGGCCAGTGCTGACCCCGTGACCCTTGCTGATGACCCTCAGGCCAAAGGTCACCTCTCCAGGGATCAAAGGGCATCGCTATGGCGCTGAACAGAGTGCCGTCGCCATGGTTACGCCACCTGTCCACTGAGGGATTGAAGGGGAGTGTATGTGTAGAGAGAGAAATGACCTACAGTGGGCTGCCATGCCATGCAAGTGATGACTAACTGGACTAGACTGGACTATAGCGCCACCCAAAGGTTATAAACACATATAACCATATCACATTGCATTATATGTAGTTGTAGATCAAGCATTATGAAACTGTATCATAAAGAAATAAGGCACAAGAGGACATAATATATTGTGAATACGTTATAGCTCCTGGGCCTTCAGAGTTTGCTTGATGGGAAACTAACAGCTGGTTTCCAACAGGGAGGTTTTGAACATGATATTTTCCAATGTGAGAAGAAGTTCCTTGGCTTCTATAGGCTACTGAGCTTGATGAAATTGGTTATGTTTATGGATGTTTATGATGGAAATCGTTATGGTGCAGACACTTTGATTATAATGTCCTTGCGCCATCTAGTGGTTTCTAACGACACATTGAACAACGCTGCTGAACATAGGCAACGATTTTCCTTCATTTTTATGAATATTTTAACATTAATATGTGATTCTAAACACTCCTTAATATAATCACAGTGTGTACATTTAACAAAAACAGTCAATATTTATTTATTTATTAAATTACATAAGATTACAGATCCAATCAATCAATTAAATTTAACTTTTGCAAGCACCAATGTCAGTCACACTTAATTTGGACACTCTCTGTTGAAAAGCAACTGCTTGCTAAGGTTACGGTTAGGGTTAGGTTTAGAATAAGGGGTTAAGGAAAGGGTTAAGTTTAGGGCTAGGGTTAGTAGATAGTTAGTTGAAATGTTACTGATAGTCTGTAGAGCATCTACAGATGCACTATCCAAATAAAGTGTTACCCCAGGGTCTTGATGATTAAATATAAATATGCATATTTGCTTAACTATTTTAATAGGCAATCTAATGTTAATGCACAAAATGACTGTTATAATAGGCCTATTCCAAATGTGCTGACCAAGTGTAACATGCTTGGCAAACCATAGTGTAACCTATACTGTTGGTTCTAATAATTTCAAAATATAAATAATTACATTAATCTTCATAATGTAATTAATAAGGGTAATAATTATCATGAAACATATTTTGGAAGACAATGTGACATCATTTGTAATAATCTACTTAAATGACTCAAAGAAAAAATACTATTTTTATAGGCAACATGGGGAACGCATGTCGTCATCAAAGAAGAAGAACAACACAAAAAGGTAGGCCTAATTGAGGAGCGGAGGCGAGAAGAGAAACATAGAAACAAAAGTTCTTGTATGAAATGAGACTCTCCTTCTTCAGTTGCGAGTCTTCAGGCAAATGACGTTTACAGGGGTGGAATCGCAAAATAAATGTGTAAAGTGCTAAAAAAACAAATTTAGCTAGTTGTGCAAGACATTTTATAGATAAAATAATACTTAACGTATCGTTTTTAAATGTGTGCATGCAAAACCAGGTTTTTAGAAATGTTTGCAAATGTATAAAAAATAATAAACAGAAATACCTTATTTACATTATGACCCTTTGCTATGAGACTCGAAATTGAGCTCAGGTGCATACTGTTTCCATTGATCATACTTGACATTTTTCTACAACTTGGACTCCACCTGTGGTAAATTCAATTGATTGGACATGATTTGGAAAGGCACAGATCTGGGGAAGGGTACCAAAACATTTCTGCAGCATTGTAGGTCCCCAAGAACACAGTGGCCTCCATCATTCTTAAATGGAAGAAGTTTGGAACCACCAAGACTCTTCCTAGAGCTGGCCGTCCGGCCAAACTGAGCAATCGGGGGAAAAGGGCCTTGGTCAATGAGGTGACCAAGACCCGATGGTCACTCTGACAGAGCTCCAGAGTTTCTATGTGGAGATGGGAGAACCTTCCGGAAGGACAACCATCTCTGCAGCACTCCACCAATCAGGCTTTTATGGTAGAGTGGCCAGACGGAAGCCACTCCTCAGTAAAAGGCACATGACAGCCTGCATGGAGTTTGCCAAAAGGCACCTAAAGGACTCTCAGACCATGAGAAACAAGATTCTCTGGTCTGATGAAACCAAGATTGAACTCTTTGGACTGAATGCCAAGCATCACGTCTGGAGGAAACCAGGCACCGCTCATAACCTGGCCAATACCATCCCTACGATGAAGCATGGTGGTGGCAGCATCATGCTATGGGGATGTTTTTCAGCGGCAGGGACTGGGAGATTAGTCAGGGTCGAGGGAAAGATGAACAGAGCAAAGTACAGAGAGATCCTTGATGAAAACCTGCTCCAGAGCGCTCAGGACCTCAGACTGGGGTGAAGATTCACCTTCCAACAGGACAATGACCCTAAGTACACAGCCAAGACAACGCAGGAGTGGCTTCGGGACAAGTCTCTGAATGACCTTGAGTGGCCCAGCTAGAGCCCGGACTTGAACCCGATCTAACATCTCTGGAGAGACCTGAAAATAGCTGTGCAGCGTCACTCCCCATCCAAGCTGACAGAGTTTGAGAGGATCTGCAGAGAAAAATGGGAGAAACTCCCCAAATACAGGTGTGCCAAGCTTGTAGCGTCATACGCAAGAAGACTTGAGGTTGTAACCGCTGAATACTTATGTAAATGTCATATTTCTGTTTTTAATTTTTAATAAATGTGCAAACATTTCTTAAAACCTGTTTTTGCTTTCTCATTATGCGGTTTTGTGTGTAGATTGATGAGGGGAAAAAAACTATTTAATCAATTTTAGAATAAGGCTGTAACTTATTAAAATGTGGAAAAAGTGAAGGGGTCGGAACACTTTCCGAATGCACTGTACCTCGCATTGTTCTGAACTATCGGTGTCACTCTTCTTACCTTCATCCTTGCAAAGCATTTTATATGGCTGGGGATGTAGAAGAGGCAATTGTAAGAAACATTTGCCATTAGGTAATTTCTGCTCAGCATCAGACTAATTTTGTGCTTCAGTAGCACTTCTCCACTTGGATGAGAATTCACCAACAGGCATTCTATCAGCAGACAACGCTCTGACTTTTTTCTCTGCTACTTTGTTCTCGGTGTAGCCAGCCTACTTTTCTCCGGTAAAATTAAAGATTCACCTTAAGAAAAATATTATGAAATTTAGCTGGCTACATTCTTTCTATGATACACATTAGAAATATGATGGCCATGCATCATTTTAGCAAAAAATTACTTGGTTTTTCATCGTAAGCTCATTTACTGTGGCTGCCAGCCAAATAGCGTTGCACTTCTGTTGTCATCTGATGAAAATTAAGCTGTGTGTTGCACTAATGTATTGTCCGTGAAGGAACATTACAGTTGCAGGTCCCTGATCACTCTATTTAATCAAAAAAACACTGCTGACTTTCAATCTAAAATGGACCCCTATCATTACACAGCTGGACTCACCTGCTCACGCTTTCACTCGTTGTGTTATTTGCAAACAGACACATGACTGGCTCAACTGTTCTGGGGAACTATGGTAAGCTTCATGATGTAAAATAATGTGACAGGGGAAATTAAGAACATGATATGCTTTATCTCCTAACATATTGCACAAGTAGACTGCAGGTATTTACTTAAAAAGTAGCTACAAATATTAAAATGTATTGAAAAACTTCCAAGAAATAGTTTCAACGGTATTGACGGTATTGAAAAGCCATCCTGTGGCTATTTACAAATACCCCGGTATACGGAATATACCTATACCGCCCAAGTCTACCCAGGACCAAGTTTGGGAAACCCTGCTGTGGAGGATGTTGGGACATCTCCGTGTCACAGAGCTACATTCTCTAATGGCTGCCATAGGCCAGACTAAGAGTGGGCTGAAGTCCAACCTGCTGGTGAGAGCTGTGGGGGTTATAAAGACCCAGTGCAATCCCCACCTGCTCAGTCATATGCCAGCTCTACCAGGAATGCTATCCCCACCAGACAGTTTCTGGCAACAGCCAGGTGGGTCAGATATAGGATATTCCTACTTATAGATCAGGAATTCCTGTTCCTTTTCAGTCGGTCACTCGGTATAACATACTATGGGAAGTCAAAGACTACTCATATTCACCTGAAGAAAACTGAAATCCCGCCCAATGGGCCAATGAATGCCGAGCCCACCCTCGGAAGCCCCGCCTTCCTGGCTATAATACTGGTGCTCGTATTCATTTCCTCAATTCTTCTCTCTTCAGCTCACCTGAAGAAGAATGTGTCACGCAATTTACAAACTTTTCAAAAACATGAAGACTACGAGATTCGGCTCCGACTTAGGTGTCTGTTAGTGGGGAGAGAGTACTTGTTCCCATAGGTGTTGCAACTTTTGGATTTTGATATCAGTTTTGTGTTTGCTAAAAGTGAACTACTTTCTGCTCTGCATGTGTAATGCTTCCTTGCTTGGGTAGGATTTGTGTTTCCTAAAAACCTACTACTTTCTGCTCTGCTTGTGCAGCCAGTGTAAGGAAGCACTGGCTACCTGCATTGATCTTGAAAACTGTGTCTGTGTTTTAATGTTTTTGCCATCATTTATGTGAGATAAAATGACTTGTATACCCACTGCGGATTATTACACAAATGGACTAAAATATTAACTTTGTGATCACAGTGCTACTTCTGCTATACGGTGTGTTTGGAATACACACACGTTGGCTGTCAAGCGGAGACCACAACAGGATTACAAACATGCAAGCGAGCACCACGGAGCCGATGTACTCGAGGGAGACTTTAATGTCCCTGTGCTCACTAGTACCACCAACAACAAGACCTCCGGAATACTACAACATCCCGATGGAGGGTGAGGAGAAGGAGAAAATGGGGAAGATGAGGGGGAATACACCGGCGGCTGCATGCGAGAGGCTCCAGACTGGCTCTCCTGTCTGTGCTCGATTGACAACAAAATCAATGAGATCCGAATGAGTGCAAGGTACTGTTTTGAGTACAGAGACTCTTCTCTCATGTGCTACACCGAAATATGGCTGCGTCCTATGATAATAATAATAATAATAATAAGCCATTTAGCAGACGCTTTTATCCAAAGCGACTTACAGTCATGTGCGCATACATTTTTACGTATGGGTGGTCCCGGGGATCGAACCCACTACCCTGGCGTTACAAGTGCCATGCTCTACCAATTGAGCTACAGAGGACCACATATCGGACTCTCAACTGGAAATCAAGGGGTTTACACTGGTGAGGTCCGATAGGACTAAGCATTCAGGCAAGAGTAAAGGAGATGGAGTTGCCACAGCTGTATCATCATCATCATCATCATCATCATCAGATGAACATGAAGACGACACAGGAACAAAAGAAACAAGACTGTTGTTCAATGCAGCCATGACACTGATTGTGGACAAGTGTAAAATAACTTCTAAACTCACATGGCACCAACAGCACAGCAACTCACAATGGAAACTGCCTCAAATCTGGTCGCAAATGAGCTTTTAAATGTCATTGCCTGGATGACAGGCATGACAACAGACCCCTCTACCAACAATGTACGTGTGAATGTCAGAGAGGAGCGAGATTGTATCAACTTGCCAGGATGTGATGAACCTCACAATGAAAGGGAGAAGGCTCATGCCCAAGCATTCCTCATTAGCCATGGCTGTTTGTCACATGGCAGGATCAGCTCAGCTGATGGTTTATTGAATGGTGTCAGGCACTGTTCCTCCCACTCACAGGTGCTTGAACATGACACAGCTCTAGCTAGGCTTGGGCAGTATACCATATACAGGGTATTTGGGAAAAGTCACAGGATGGTTTTTCAATACCATCAATGGAGTCAAAACTATTTCTTTGAATATTTGTAGCTACTTTTTAAAGGGGAATTTCACCCTGGGGGAACCTGTGCTTGTTTTTATCATGCCCGAGGCATTTCTAGGTCAGTGAGATGTGTTTCACACATAATTGCCCAGGTGGAAGGCAGGTCTGGGCTTCTTGAGCTGAATGATTGTCACGAGAATTTTGTTATCTCAATGTTTGAACTCAACTATCACTCAAGCTTTGAATAATTCCCAGAGGTTGCAAGGCTCTGGTTAACGAAGAAAAGTCTGCAATAGATCAGTATTTTATTCATGAGAGCTCTGCCCCTCTCAAGACGGGTCAATCCTTTTATACACACAAGTTTTAAGTCTAGGCTATGCCTGCTCAGGCAGGCTGTATTTTCCTACTATACTCCTACATGGTTATAGCGTTTCACAACATTCTGCAAGCCTCTCACTCCCCCTCCATGTGGGGGGGGGGACGTCTGGTCTCAAAACCTCTTACTTTGTTCTTGTTCTCGAAGTTGCACCCAGCTGGTACAACTACACAATAACACAATGTCCCGGTTCTAACTCTAACTCTGCTACACTTCTCATCAGATTACGTTCGAATGATTCTAACACATTTCACACAGTACTACAGTTTCGGGGTGGAATACTTTAGTCATTACTTTAAACATACAAATCTTCTATCAATGATACACCGTAAGACTGTTTCCTGTGTATTGATGGGAGGGGCGAGATCTAAAAAAAAAATGTAGTCCTGCATTTCTAGAAGGCTCTATGTTATACTGATCGCACTATATGTTTTTGTGTGTTTAGATATGGTTGTCCTTGTTAGATAGAGCCATTGGACGTCTTTCAGCGATGTTCCTATCGGCGGATTCATTACTAAATACACAAGCAGACAAAATGTTTCCAGTCTCTGAAAGACTACAACTTGTTTTGGGCGGTGCTTCGTGCTCCGGCCCCCGTCCCTCCCCAAGGCGGGCTTTTTTGTTAAAGGAGGCGGAAACTAACAACACAGTCCTTTGGGCAAAACTGAAAGAACGGACCAGACGCAATGGCTTCAAGTGATTCCTCTCATCAACACGAATTCGACAATGGAGCATCTATTAGCCTCATGGTGACATTCAACCATACATGTTTCAACCTGAATAGAGCGAAGAAGATTCAAAGTAAAAATATATAGTTTTAGCTAACGTTAGAAGCTCAGCTACAGCCAATGCCAGCACCAGAGGGCAGATGACAAATATGGTGCCTAGCTAAGTAATTTTTCCTGCAAGCCAGCTAGCTAGCTAGCTAACTTTAGTTGATCTACTAAAACCCATATTGTGTATTGCTGGCTAACATGCTACTGTGTTACAGTGGGGGGAAATCAAATTATTTTTCTGTTTACTAACTTAGCTATGTAGTTAGCTAGGTAGCTAGCTAAGTTAGCTAAACAACTACCGGTAGCCATATCTATGACAAAAATAGAAGAGGTTTTACAATCAGAGATCTGTTGTATCTCGATTGTAAAACCTCTTCTCTTTTTAGTCAAAAAAATGGCTACTCAACAGCAAGCTACAACGTTACAACCAGCCACCTAAAGCTAGGTTTACCAGCAAATGTTAGCACATGACTGGAGTTGGCTAGCTAGTTAGCCTGGCGCCTACTAACTTGTTATGCGCCATGCCTCACATTGTTTACTTGTTAGCAAACATGTGTAACATCAGCAACTGTAAATCATTTTACTAGCTAGCTATGTAACATAATTGACGAGGGTTGACAATGGTTATGATTATGACCGTGGATGCATTTCAATCTCATAAATGTATAGGCATAACGCAAGAAAGGATTCCAAACAGATGTAAATAACAAGTATTGTATATCCAGCAAACTAGCTAGCTAAGTTTACTGGCAAACAGTGAGAAGAAACAATAATACAACAATTTACTGTTGTAATAATAATAATAATAATAATAATAATAATAATAATAATATGCCATTTAGCAGACGCTTTTATCCAAAGCGACTTACAGTCATGCGTGCATTTTTTTTTTTTTTTTGTGTGTATGGGTGGTCTCGGGGATCGAACCCACTACCTTGGCGTTACAAGCGCCGTGCTCTACCAGCTGAGCTACAGAGGACCACCTTTAAAACTGAAGCTGGTTTTACTATCAAAAATATTTGCCTAAGCATGCCTGATAGACATGGCATATTTATTTCTATTAGGCTAGATATGGTTGTAATCTCTGTGCCTGTGTACATGTATGCATGTTCAACTAGTCTACCCTAATGTTATGTTATGCTGACACAGTTCATGTCACGACTTCCTCCGAAGCTGCCTTCTCTATGTTCGGGCAGGCTTCGGCATTCGTCGTCAACGGCCTTCTAGCCACTGCCGCTCCTCATCTCATCATTCCATTTGTTTTGTCTTGTTTATTACACACACACACACACACACACACCTGGTTAATATCCCCTCATCAGTACCTGTATAAATGTTCCTTCTATCCCCTTGTCTTTGTGTGTGATTGTTTATTGTGGAGGTTAGAGAAGCTCGGTGGAGCTCCTTGTATATTTCTCGACCATCAGCCCGGCTCCATTGGAGCGGGAGAAGATGTCCACCCTCGTCTCCTGCCTCTCGGGGAAAGCCCTGGAGTGGGCCAACGCGGTTTGGAGTGATGGAGGACAACTACTGGGAGTTCGCTCGCCTTTTCTGGGCCGTCTTCGATCACCTGCCCGAAGGTAGAGAGGCGGGTGAGCGGCTGGTCCACCTGAGGCAGGGGACAAGGACTGAGCAGGACTTTGCCCTGGAGTTTCATACTCTACCGAGCGGGCCCTCATCGACCACTTCCGGTGCCATCTGCGAGAGAACATCCGAAGGGAGCTAGCCAGCTGGGACACCACGTTGTCCTTCAATCAACTTTTGGACATGGCCATCCGGTTGGACAACCTGCTGGCTTCTAGCGGACGTCCTGGAAGGGACCTGCCCATTTCATCCCCCCCCCAACCCGGATCACAAGATGATTAAGCTGGGTGGTGCGGCGATCCGGGAGAGCGGAGGATGACAGCACCAGTGTCACTCTTGTGGCACAAGAGTACGTTCTACTGCACGCTGTCGTCAGCGTACTTTTGGGTCTGGAGGCGGCAGGCAGGGCACCCTCGCGTCACCCCAGGTATCGAACACCCACACTTGTTCAGAGCCCTCTGCTGCACACTGTACCCTACACATCCACTTCCCTCACGGGGTGGTCGTGAGAGTGTCAGGGTAGGTGTCTAGCTGTTTCCGTTGGTGCAACCACGGTGGAAAGTCCGAATACCTCGGTGGCACCCCCGAATACCTCGATTTGGCGCACGCGTTTTCCAAAACGCAGGCGATCAAATTACCACCTCATCAGGCGGGGGACTGCGCGATAAACCTCCGGGTAGACGCTGTGCCTCCTGTCGCAGGCTGAAACGGAGGCTATGGAGACATGTCTCAGAGTCCCTCCACTTTGCCCGCCTCCTCGAGTTTCTTTTTTGTGAAGAAGAAAGACTGAGGTCTGTGCCCTTGCATTGATTACCGAGCAATGAACAAGGGGACAATACATTATAGTTATCCTCTACGTCTCATTCCATCTGTAATTGAGTCAATGCATGGGGCGCACTTCTTCACAAAATTAGATCTCCGGAGTGCGTACAACCTGGTGCATGTCCGAGAGGGGGACGAGTGGAAGACAGCATTAAGCACAACCACGGGGCATTAGGAATACCTGGTGATGCCGTACGGTTTGATGAATGCTCCAACCGTCTTCCAGTCCTTTGTGAACAAGGTGTTTCGGGACATGCTTGGTCGCAGTGTAGTGGTCTACATCGATGACATTCTGGTGTATTCCGCTACACGCACCGCGCATGTGTCCCTGGTTCGCAAAGTGCTGGGCCGACTGTTGTAACATGACCTTTATGCCAATGCAGCAACAGTCCATCTCCTTCCTCGGATACCGCATTACCACCTCAGATGTGGAGATGAAGGAGATCGCATTTCAGCCGTGCGTAATTGGCCGACTCCAACCACGGTAAAGGAGGTGCAGCGCTTCCTTGGCTTTGCCAACTACTATCGGAGGTTTATCCGGGGCTTTGTCAATGTCGCAGCTCCCATCACCTCTCTGTTGAAGAAGGGCCGTCCCGGCTCCGCTGGTCTGCTGAGGCTGACAGGGCCTTCAGTAACCTGAGGGTTCTGTTCACCTCAGCCCCGGTACTGGCCCATCCCGATCCATCACTACCATTCGTAGTGGAGGTGGATGCGTCCGAGGTAGGGATAGGCGCTGTCCTATCTCAACGCTCGGGCACACCACCCAAGCTCCGCCCCTGTGCCTTCTTATCCAAGAAGCTCAGCCCGGCGGAGCAGAACTACGACGTTGGGGATCAGGAGCTGTTGGCTATTGTCCGAGCCCTGACCGTGTGGCAAAACACCCTTTCCTCGTCTGGACGGACCCCCGTAACCTGGAGTACATCCAGGCAGCGAGGAGGCTGAACCCTCGCCAGTTCAGGTGGGCCCTATTCTTCACCCGGTTTTATTTTACACTGTCTTACATCCCGGGTACGAAGAACGTGAAGGCAGACGCACTGTCACGGCTGTACAACACAGAGGAGAGGCCCATAGACAACACCCCCATACTCCCGGCCTCCTACATTGTGTGGTTGGGGGGGGGGGGGGTGTACTGACAAGACTTCCTCCGAAGCTGCCTTCTCTCCTTGTTCGGGCAGGCTTCAGCGTTCGTTTACACGGCCTTCTAGCCACTGCCGCTCTTCATCTCATCATTCCATTTGTTTTGTCATTTATTACACACACCTGGTTCATATCCCCTCATCAGTACCTGTATAAGTGTTCCCTCTACCCCCTTGTCTTTGTGTGTTATTGTATATTGTGGAGGTTAGAGAAGCTCGTGGAGCTCCTTGTATTTTGTATCCCCTGTGTGCCTTGTTGTTTCCAGTGCGCCTGTTTTGCGCACTTGAGTGTTTTGACGCATTACTGCGTAACTCTGTTTCGGAATAAATCCTGTTATTCTGTGATTTACCCTCCTGCGCCTGACTCCTTCGAAATCACTCATCACAGTTCAACTGTCGTTCAAACAGGTTTCTTCCTGGTGCATTCTATATACTGAAACAGAATTCCTTTGCCTGCGTGTGTCATTGTAGCAGAACTGTATCCCTTCAACTGTATCCCTTCAACTGTATCCCTCTCGAGGGATTAGACATTATGCTGGATTTCAAGCAGATCTCATGAGGAGCGGAATGGCAGTTTGATCATGACAACACTCCTCCCAAAGCTTTACAAGTATTCCCTGAACTTTAGTACACTGATCATTCTGTATTTTCTTACTGTATGTTTCCTTATGAATGGCAATTTCATTATGACCACCAGTTCTTAGCTACAGATTATTACACCAGATAATGTGATTTAACCAAAGATGTTTGGTATGCATTACTGGGAGTTACAGGATAGGTATTGTTTGGTGTAGCACAGAGAATTTTCTACCAACCTTAGCAATGCCGTCTTCGTCCTTCATTCGGGGAAACAGGAGTCTCATAAAATGTCTGTGTCCAGTTGTAGGGAGTAATACTTGTTTTGCTCCATTAAGTAATCCAACAATGTGTACGCCGCCATCTTGTCTATTTCAAGTCTTCTCTCATTGATTGAGACAGGTCTCTGTCATCATGACATGCAGCACTTTGGGGTGGACACCTACCTGTCTAGATCATTGAAAGAAGACTTGAAATAGACAAGAAGTCTGCAAAAATCTTTGGGTAAATCACATTATCTGGTGTAACAATCTGTAGTTACAGTTCTCTGCACTTGTGTCTCTACACCTGATACACGCTCGGACACACTGAACTGTACTACACTGTTCATACATTTTTGGGGGGTATGTTACTTTTACCATATAACATTCTTGTTGAATACCCAGTTCTCTTGAGTTAACATTAAATATTGTACACACCCCTGTATTTTAGATTTTTTTATTTTGACAAATAAACATTCTTTGGATATCTGAATGTCTAGCATCTGTTTGATGCTACAGAGCCCTGTACAGTTTATACAAATATATTCTGTGAATCCATACATTTCTAAGATTTATAGAAAATATCCATATTTATTTTATGGTGGTTCAACATCAGGGCTCTCCAACCCTGTTCCTGGAGAGCTACCGTCCTGTAGGTTTTCACTCCAACCCTAATCTAGCACACCTGACTCTAATAATTAGCTGGTTGATAAGCTGAACCAGTTAATTACAACTAGGGTTGGAGCGAAAACCTACAGGAGGGTAGCTCTCCAGGAACAAGGTTGGAGACCCCTGTTCTACATGGTCTTGTGCTGAGCCACACTGCCTGCATTTACAAAGGCAGCCCAATTCTGATATTTTTTCCATTAATTGGTCTCAATCACATCAGCTCTTTTTCAGAACTGATCTGATTGGTCAAAAGACCAATTAGTGAAAAAAATATCAGAATTAGGTTGACTGTGTCGTCCTTTATCCGGCTTCGGTACACTGGCAATGGTGTTCGGCATGGTGGGCTGGGGAAGCTGAGACTTTGTGCTTATGGCAAATGGTCTTGTCCTGTCTGCGGTGAAGTGCCAGCTGGATAAGACTGCCGAAAGTGGTGTAGGGTTTAACCACCAACTGTTTGGTCCTCTTGCAGAATATTTTCTGGTACTGCATGTCTCCTGGAAAGACATTGTTGTGGTGTTAGCATTTTACACATTTTGTGGAAGGAACGTAGGGCAACACGACTTTGTTGGTAAAGGTGTCAACCAAATGGGACCAGCTAGCGTATTGTTTAGGCGACATTGGGACCAGCTTTTGAGAGGAAAGATCAGTCAATAAAGTGAATGGGCTGGGGGGCTAAAGAAAGTGTAACAGGGTTGGTTATGTTTCCACTTGCCTCGAACTGTTACATTAGGAGGGCAGTTCTTACACAGTATGAATTGTTGTGTATGGGAGATTGAGGAGAAATGGCACCTCAATTGGTCTTATGCACAACCAAAACGTCCTTCCTCATCTCAAAGTACTGTCTGTAAACCTCCCCAGCCCATTGACTTTGACAGATCATTCTTGTCAATAGTAGCCCTTTGCAGGGGATTTTTGTAGACATGTCTTTGTATTGTGTTTTGAGAATCTGCAGACAAACATTTGGTGATTGTGTCATTACTGCTGTAGTCTTGATTTTATACCTTTCAGTGTCCCTTGCTGGTTTCTGTCACACAATCTTGTTGTGCTCCCTCATGTTTGTGTACCCAAAATGCTGCAGCTTTGGGGTATTTTTCAGCAGGGCACTGTGGAATGACTCCAGATAACCTGAGTTTCAAACAAAAAAAAAGTATAAAGAGAAGAGGGGTAGACTAAATTGATGGTCTGGAAGGTTCTCTGTGGTCCTCAGGCTACCTCTAACCACCTGTAACCCCATAACAACAAACCATTCAAACACTACCCAATTAATGTTTATACAATGCTTACTGTAAATTGAGCTATTTTAGCCGTCAGTTTAAAAATATTTTTTGCCAATTTACATTCACCTTGTGCAAAGCTAGGGGTTGGAAGCGCGTATTGGTGGAATCAGATTCTGTACCACCTAAAACAAAATACAATACACAATTTAACCACCCAACTAATTGTATTGATCTCTATTAGACTGTCTAGCTTAGCATACCTAACATGGACATTTCAATATTGTCAGCTTGCTGTTAGCTAACTATCGTCACTAAATTGGCAGCAAGATTACTAGCCAGCTGAGAACCAACCATAGATGATTATTACACATTCATCATTGCTACCAACACGCAAACAGAGAGTGAGTTAGCAATATCAACAATTCTATTTTTAGTAACGGAGTGTTTTCCAGACAAGGGTGGAATAGATGGCTACCAGACTGAGCTACTCTTATTTGCTAACATTAACTAGCTTACATTAGCTAACGTCAGTCAAAGATAGAACGAACAAACATGTTACTCTGCTGTCGTCGAAATGGATTCCCCATCAGTTCAACCTGAAAATCTCTCTGATAATATTTGGTCACCGAATGGCGCATCGTTCTTGATAGCCGCAAGCCACTGGCAGTATCGGTGTAAATCTCTGGTAGGTAGGAAGGTGAAAGATAAATAATTTTCGCGTTGGTTTGTAATTAGCACAGCCAGGCACAGAACACCACAAAGGCATGATGACAAACGTCAGTGAAAAACAAACATTGTCAAAAATATTTTGGTACTGTCCATATATAGTTTTTGGTCACAGGTCCAGGAATGGCTGAAGAATTGCAACATTTACCTGGAGCTAACGCTGCAGATAGCAATACTGGGTGATTTGAAAAGTCATAGTCAATCGATCAATAATTTTAATAATACTTTTAGCGAAACTATTTATCTTTAAATTATAATCTGTAGAAACTATGGGAATAGAACGTTTTAAAACTTTTGTGAAGCATCACAGCACAGTTGAAAAATATATGGCAAATAGAAATCCAATATAAATGGTGTAAAGAGATAGATGGGAGGAGTTGAATGGACCTGAAGGGTGGGACTAATAACAACAAGATAACAAATATTCTGTAAAATGTATATAGGTTCAGAACTTTTGTGAAACAGCAAATTAAAAAATATGTGGCAAATAGAAATCAAACTGGATGGACATAAAAAATGGATGGGAGAGGTTGAGGGTAGAGGAAAGACAGGACTAAAAACAAACCAAATATTCACTGCCAGTCAAAAGTTTGGACACACCTACTCATTCAAGGGTTTTTCTTAATTTTTACTATTTTCTACATTGTAGAATAATAGTGAAGACATCAAAACTATGAAATAACACATATGGAATCATATAGTAACCAAAAAAGTGTTAAACAAATCAAAATATATTTGAGATTTTTCAAATATCCACCCTTTGCCTTGATGACAGCTTTGCACACTCTTGGCATTCTCTCAACCAGCTTCTTGAGGTAGTCACCTGGAATACATTTCAATTAACAGGTGTGCCTTCTTAAAAGTTAATTTGTGGAATTTCTTTCCATCTTAATGCGTTTGAGCAAATCAGTTGTGTTGTGACAAGATGGGGGGGGGTATACAGAGGATAACCCTATTTGGTAAAAGACCAAGTCCATATTATGGTAAGAACAGTTCAAATAAGCAAAGAGAAATGACAGTCCATCATTACTTTAATACATGAAGGTCAGTCAATCCGGAACATTTCAAGAACTTTGAAAGTTTCTTCAAGTGCAGTCGCAAAAACCATAAAGCGCTATGATGAAACTGGCTCTTATGAGGACCGCCACAGGAATGGAAGACCCAGAGTTACCTCTGCTGCAGAGGATAAGTTCATTAGAGTTATGGTGTGGGGGTGCTTTGCTGGTGACACTGTCTGTGATTTATTTAGAATTCATGTCACACTTAACCAGCATGGCTACCATAGCATTCTGCAGCGATACGCCATCCCATCTGGTTTGGGCTTAGTGGGACTATCATTTGTTTTTCAACAGGACAATGACCCAACACACCTCCAGGCTGTGTAAGGGCTATTTTACCAAGAAAGAGAGTGATGGAGTGCTGCATCAGATGACCTGGCTTCCACAATCCCCCGACCTCAACCCAATTGAGATGGTTTGGGATGAGTCGGACCGCAGAGTGAAGGAAAAGCAGCCAACAAGTGCTCAGCATATGTGGGGACTCCTTCAAGACTGTTGGAAAAGCATTCCAGGTGAAGCTGGTTGAGAGAATGCCAAGAGTGTGCAAAGCTGTCATCAAGGCAAAGGGTGGCTACCACACCATAACACCTCCTCCTCCATGCTTTACGGTGAGAAATACACATGCAGAGATCATCTGTTCACCCACACCGTGTCTCACAAAGACACAGTGGTTGGAACCAAAAATCTCACATTTGGACTCCATACCAAAGGACAAATGTCCACCGGTCTAATGTCCATTGCTCGTGTTTCTAGGCCCAAGCAGGTCTCTTCTTATTATTGGTGTCCTTTAGTAGTGGTTTCTTTGCAGCAATTCGACCATGAAGGCCTGATTCACACAGTCCCCTCTGAACAGTTGATGTTGAGATGTGTCTGTGACTTCAACTCTGTGAAGCATTTATTTGGCCTGCAATTTCTGAGGCAGGTAACTCTAATGAACTTATCCTCTGCAGCAGAGATAACTCTGGGTCTTCCTTTCCTGTGGCAGTCCTCATAAGAGCCAGTTTCATCATATCTCTTGATGGTTTTTGCAACTGCACAGAAGAAACTTTCAAAGTTCTTGAAATGTTCCGTATTGACTTACCTTCATGTCTTAAAGTAATGATGGACTGTCATTTCTCACCCCCCCCCCCCCCCTTAATTAACAGGCACACCTGTTAATTGAAATGCATTCCAGGTGACTACCTCATGAAGCTGGTTGAGAGAATGCCAAGAGTGTGCAAAGCTGTCATCAAGGCAAAGGGTGGCGATTTGAAGAATCTCAAATATACAATATATTTTGATATGTTTAACTCTTTTTTGGTTACTTCATGATTCCATGTGTTATTTCATAGTTTTGATGTCTTCACTATTATTCTACAATGTAGGAAATAGTAAAAATAAAGAAAAACCCTTGAATGAGTAGGTTTGTCCAAACGTTTGACTGGTCCTGTACATATTTTTTAAATCCAGTCGGATAAACACTCCAAACAGCCTAGCCGACCACTCGGAGGCGTCCGCATGGTCCTAAAGCACACCATCGCCTCGGTTTGTATCAGATTCCAATGATACAACTGGGGTGGGAGGACAAAAATGCAATTTCAGAATGTGGGAGGGACATGTCCCAGTGAAAGTTGTGCCCCTGGAGATATGTGATCAGAGCATGGCAATGTTCTATTTCACACCAAGGCTTGGTGGTTATCGAGGGAGTGTTGGAAAGATTTTTCACATTGAGAGAGGAACTGTTGTCATTCACAATGGATGTAAAACAAAAAACAGACTTGGTTGACTTTCTGTGTAATGAAAATAAAATAACAGAAAACAGCATCAGTAAGTGTCCCACACGAGTGATGACTGCTCACCTCCAACGCTTGGAAGAGCACTTTGGGACGGACATACTTTCCAATCCGTTTGACTGTGATCCTGGCTCAGTTGACATGCTGGTAAGTGAAATCGAACAGCTGATCGAGCTGTCATGTGACCGAATGCTGCAGTTTTTGCAGTGGTGTAAAGTACTTAAGTAAAAATACTTTAAAGTACTTCTTAAGTAGTCTTTTGGGGTATCTGTACTTTACTATTTATATTTTTTGACAACTTTTACCTTTACTTCACTACATTCCTACTTCACTACATTTTCCCTGACACCCAAAAGTACTCGTTACATTTCGAATGCTTAGCAGGACAGGAAAAGGGTCCAATTCACACACTTCTCAAGAGAACATCCCTGGTCATCCCTACTGCCTCTGATCTGACAGACTCACTAAACACAAATGCTTTGTTTGTAAATTATGTCTGAGTGTTGGAGTGTGTCTCTGGCTATCTTATAAAAATAAAAATAAAAAATATGGTGCTGTCTGGTTTGCTTAATATAAGGAATTTGATACTTTTGGTACTTACGTATATTTTAGCAATTACATTTACTTTTGATACTTAAGTATATTTAAAACCCAATACTTTTAGACTTTTACTCAAGTAGTATTTTACTGAGTGACTTTCACTTTTACTTGAGTCATTTTCTATTAAGGTATCTTTACTTTTACTCAAGTATGACAATTGGGTACTTTTTCCACCACTGAGTTTTGGTTCCTGACTCAAATGGAATACCGTGTCGTCTCCCTCTGAGCATTAATGCCGTGTTCAAAACAACTGGGAACACAAAACTGGGAACTCGGAAATCTCCGACTTCTGACTTCCGGCTTCAGTGCATTCAAGACAACTGGGAACTCGGAAAGAAATTAGCTCCAACTGGGAAAAATAGTTTTGAACGGTCATCCAACTCGGAATTCCAACTCGGGAACTCTGGCCTCTTTCTAGAGCTCTGACTTTCTGACCTAAAGATCACATACGTCATGATTTGACCTCGTATTTTTCCGAGTTCCGAGTTGTCTTGATTGCACCATAAAACTCATGGTAGGCTATAGTTGTGCGGGGGTCAGCTGTTTGTTCAACTGCACCCACCCGCAATTGATAACAACTCATCCACAGACACCCGACTATATGTCATAAAGTGAAAATCTGAGGCCCGCACCCAACCCTAACCCGCAAATATAGAAAATGTGCTATAGGCTACAGTCAAAGACTGCAGAACGATTTTTTGACAGGGGGTGCAGGATTTTGTTTTGCCTGATTTAGATATGTTTCTGCTTATAATTTCCGACATTTTAGTAGGCTATTTGTTAGTCAACCTGTCTATAATTAGATACATGTAGCTTCTCTTTTGTCATTATATGTTGTCCTAGAAGACTAAATAAACCCTTGCTCAACAGAATAATGTAATAGATAGATAGAATGAATACTTCAATCTAGTTGACATCGGTAAAGTTCTCTCTGTCATCTTTCGCGGAGCAAAGACGTTTAGGGGCTGGGAGAAAATACAATAAAGCAAAAACAAACGGGAAAGATTTTCTGTGTAAAATGTCCAAATGACATCAGTTTGACTGGTTGTAAGGAAAAAGAAAGCTTTGAAAACGACCCAACGTGTTTCTGATAAGATTTCAGTTCGGCTTTGGTGCATATTGTATGTGGTTGAAATACTCAGCTTTTATGATGCTTTTATGATGAAGACAGCACCTCTACAGATCGTATCTAACTGAGCATTGCATTCTCTCAAGATGCAGAAATAAATAAATCATATTTCTCCACTCCTTTTCCCAAGTACAAATTTTGCCTACATTAAGGCTATAGCCCTATTCGCACGGGACTAGTATTACTAGAGAATGTTGGTTATGTATTTATTACCCCAGAATGTCCGTTATCCCAAGTTTCTAAACCATACCCGTGTCGCCATAATATTTGAATTGAGGAAGTATGATCATAATCATTAGGATATTTTAGTGATCCGCAGTAGAAGATGTCAGTCCTAAACGGTTGGCATGCAATATTTTAATCCACACAAAAAAAAAGAAACGTCCTCTCACTGTCAACTGCGTTTATTTTCAGCAAACTTAACATGTGTAAATATTTGTATGAACATAACAAGATTCAACAACTGAGACATAAACTGAACAAGTTCCACAGACATGTGACTAACAGAAATTGAATAATATGTGTCCCTGAACAAAGGGGGGGGGGTCAAAATCAAAAGTAACAGTCAGTATCTGGTGTGGCCACCAGCTGCATTAAAGTACTGCAGTGCATTTCCTCCTCATGGACTGCACCAGATTTTCCAGTTCTTGCTGTGAGATGTTACCCCACTCTTCCCCCAAGGCACCTGCAAGTTCCAGGACATTTCTGGGGGGAATGGCCCTAGCCCTCACCCTCCGATCCAACAGGTCCCAGATGTGCTCAATGGGATTGAGATCCGGGCTCTTCGCTGGCTATGGCAGAAAACTGACATTCCTCTCTTGCAGGAAATCACACACAGAACGAGCAGTATTGCTGGTGGCATTGTCATGCTGGAGGGTCATGTCAGGATGAGCCTGCAGGAAGGGTACCATATGAGGGAGAAGGATGTCTTCCCTGTAACGCACAGCGTTGAGATTGCCTGCAATGACAACAAGCTCAGTCCGATGATGCAGTGACACACCGTCCCAGACCATGACAGACCCTCCACCTCCAAATCGATCCCGTTCCAGAGTACAGGCCTCAGTGTAATGCTCATTCCTTCGACAATAAACGTGAATCCGACCATCACCCCTGGTGAGACAAAACCACGACTCGTCAGTGAAGAGCACTTTTTGCCAGTCCTGTCTGGTCCAGCGACGGCGGGTTTGTGCCCATAGGCAAAGTTGTTGCCGGTGATGTCTGGTGAGGACCTGCCTTACAACAGGCCTACAAGCCCTCAGTCCAGCCTCTCTCAGCCTATTGCGGACAGTCTGAGCACTGATGGAGGGATTGTGCGTTCCTGGTGTAACTCGGGCAGTTGTTGTTGCCATCCTGTACCTGTCCCACAGGTGTGATGTTCGGATGTACCGATCCTGTGCAGGTGTTGTTACACGTGGTCTGCCACTGCGAGGACGATCAGCTGTCCATCCTGTCTCCCTGTAGCGCTGTCTTAGGCGTCTCACAGTACGGACATTGCAATTCATTGCCCTGGCCACATCTGCAGTCCTTATGCCTCCTTACACTGGGGAGCCAGACTCAGCCAATCAGAATGAGTTTTTCCCCACAAAAGGGCATTATTACAGACAGAAATACTCAGTTTCATCAGCTGTCGGGGTGGCTGGTCTCAGATGATCCCGCAGGTGAAGAAGCTGGATGTGGAAGTCCTGGGCTGGCACAGTTACACGTGGCCTTTGGTTCTGAGGCTGGTTGGCTGTACTGCCAAATTCTCCAAAACGAGTTAGGAGGCAACTTATGGTAGAGAAATTAACATTACATTCTCTGACAACAGCTCTGGTGGACATTCCTGTAGTCAGCATGCCAATTGCACACTCCCTCAACTTGAGACATCTGTGGCATTGTGTTGTGTGACAAAACTGCACATTTTAGAGTGGCCTTTTATTGTCCCCTGCACAAGGTGCACCTGTGTAATGATCATGCAGTTTAATCAGCTTCTTGATATGCCACCCTGTTACAGGAGGGGGTCGCAGTTCCGGAGCGACCCACTAGGTGTCATCCTCCGACAACCTTAGGCACCTCCTCACTCACAGTCGGGACTAATCATCATCCTATTGGTGTCACCTGTGTCTATCTGTTCACCTGTGTATTTATGCCCTCACTTCCCTGTGTTCCCTTGCTCAGTTTACTCTGCTAGTTTATTGATGTCAAGCAGTACAAATCAGTGTATGATCACGAGACGTAAGTACAGGTACTTGAGAAGTGTTCTCCCTGTTTCATTGTTGTTTTCAGTCATAGTTAGTATTTTTTGGAGACCAATTTGCGCCTCCTTTATTTTTCGTGATAAGTCCGTTATTTTGTATCCTGGCTTTTGGAGCACCAGTAAAGATCCTTGTTTCACCATCTTTGCCTAATGCCTACTGTCTATCCTACACCGCACCTCGGTCACACCTCACACCAACCCTTACACCACCCCTGTCAGGTGGATGGATTATCTTGGCAAAGGAGAAATGCTCACTAACAGGGATGTAAACAAATTTGGGCACCAAATTTGAGAGAAATAAGCTTTTTGTGCGTATGGAACATTTCTGGGATCTTTTATTTCAGCTCATGAAACATGGGACCAGCACTTTACACTTTCTTGGTGTGTTTGGACCATGATAGTTTGTTGGTGATGTGGACACCAAGGAACTTGAAACTCTCGACCCGCTCCACTACAGCCCTGTCGATGTGAATGGGGGCGTGTTCGGCCCTCCTTTTCCTGTAGTCCATGATCCATGGTTGTTGTCCTGGCACCACACTGCCAGGTCTCTGACCTCCTTCCTATAGGCTGTCTCATCGTTGTCGGTGATCAAGCCTACGACCGTTGTGTCGTCAGCAAACTTAATGATGGTGTTGGAGTCGTGCTTGGCCACTCAGTCGTGGGTGAACAGGGAGTACAGGAGGGGCCCCCGTGTTGAGGATCAGCGTGGTAGATGTGTTGTTGCCTACCCTTACCACCTGGGGGTGGCCCTTAAGGAAGTCCAGGATCCAGTTGCAGAGGGAGCTGTTTAGTCCCAGGGTCAGCTTAGTGATGAGCTTTGTGGGCACTATGGTGTTGAACGCTGAGCTGTAGTCAATGAACAGCATTCTCACATAGGTGTTCCTTTTGTCCAGGTGAGAAAGGGCAGTGTGGAGTGCGATTGACATTGCGTCATCTGTGGATCTGTTGGGGCGGTATGCGAATTGGAGTGGGTCTAGGGTTTCCGGGATGATGGTCTTGATGTGAGCCATGACCAGCCTTTCAAAGCACTTCATGGCTACCGACGTGAGTGCTACGGGGCGGTAGTCATTTAGGCAGGTTACCTTCGCTTTCTTGGGCACAGGGATTATGGTGGTCTGCTTGAAACATGTAGGTGTTACAGACTCGGTCAGGGAGAGGTTGAAAATGTCAGTGAAGACACTTTCCAGTTGGTCAGCGCATGCTCTGAGTACACGTCCTGGTAATCCGTCTGGCCCCACGGCCTTGTGAATGTTGACCTGTTTAAAGGTCTTGCTCACATCGGCTACGGAGAGCGTGATCACACAGTCGTCTGGAAAAGTTGGTGCTCTCATGCATGCTTCAGTGTTGCTTGCCTCGAAGCGAGCATAAAAGGCAGTGGGAGTTGGTGTGTGATAATGCATGGAAGGTCCCCCTCTCCACCTCCATCTTCTTCCTAGGAGTTCTTCTGATCAGATCTTTCATTAGTGGCCAGCTCTCTGACAGGTAAGTTAATTCACGTTTGGCCTTTGGCACAGATCTAGGATCAGCGTAGGCCTTCCCTTATCTCCATACCATAATTTATAGCATGGGGATAGTCTTGCTACACAGACTGGTTGCCTCCCACAATGTAACCAATGTTCCATTCCGAGACTAGCATGGGGATGCAAATTGACCTAAGACTAACACAAACATCAACATGCAACAGTATGCATACACATCCAAAAGGAGCCTAACCCTACCCAACCACTCTGAATGAGAAGCCAATCTACCAGTGATGTCCATCAGCAGGCATGCTAAGTATGCAAAGCTGACAGCCTGTGAGAAGATCTGAGTCTATGATAGTTTTTTTAAAATGCAGGAACAGTGAAGTATGCTTTTTTATGTGTAGGTCAACAGGAAGGATAAACCGATATCACAATATGCCTTGCTCATAATGATATCAAATTATCAATATTGGTGCTGCCTACCACTAAAAGATACAGTAGGCTCCCAAAGCTTAAACACACACAAGGTTTTGAGTTCAGAAATTGAATTACTAAAATGGGAATCCCTATTCAAGTCAATGAACATCTTATGATTATATTTCTATGCATGTGTTGATATTATGTCTGTGTCCTGCAGGTTTGGGAGGAGGCCGATGTTTTTCCGTACAATGGCTGTTCAGACAATCATCACACTAATCCAGTCTACCTCGGTCAGCTGGCCAATGTACTGTGTGCTCAACTGTTTGAGGGGCGTGGGCCAGATATCCAGTTACCTTTCATCACTAGTATTAGGTGACATAAGGGTTTAGTGTGGCAGAAGGCTAGGGCAGTGGCAGACAGCCAATTGACATGCATCTTCCTGCCCAACCCCTTTGAATGTTCCAGTTATAAACCAGGCTACAAACAGTACAGGATTGCCAATTGTGTTCTCAAATAGGCTACACAGCAGAGGGATATATAAGTCAGAATACCAAACACAGGAAGTTATTATACTGCATACCACACAGTATTTACTTATGATGCATACCCCAACCATCCTGAATGGTTTGAGGAGGTGGTGGTGGAGGTGATCAATTTCTTTGTGGCAAGTAGTTGTAGTACAGTAGTAATAATGGCTATAACCAGGCCACAGAGTTTTTGCTTGTCAGGAGAAACTAACTCCTGGCCCTAGTAATGTGTTGTCTGGCGGTCCTGGTTCAGGGTCGGATATCCTGGGGAAGTCGACCCGCGAGAGCGACACCCTCCTGGGCCACAGTGTGGCCTTCAGCTTGGGCTACGCCTGCCTCGCTCTCTTCGCCTACTTTATACACGGCTGGAGGATGCTGCTGGTCGCCTCCGCCATACCTGGCTTTTTCTACATCCCTCTGTGGTGGTGAGTGACACACATTGATCTAGTGGCCTGAGGGCACGGAGAAACAGCACCCACCAGTCCCTTTTTCTCAACATCTTTCTGGGAACCCAGTGAAGGGTTTAGGTTCGCCAAACACAATATTTGCAGCATGTGCTAGGTGAACTGCATCTGTGTCCTTATCTACTGTAGCTCACGTGCTTTAGTTAGTGCAGTGCCAATGTCTTCATCAAATACCATCAGAACATTCCCTCCCCTTGTTTTGGGCCCCGCATATTAAGAAATTGCCCCAGGAGTTATTCTTGTCAGTTGTTTGCTGTTTACTCCTACATTGAGGTTATGCCAAGCTGCTCCTTCCTGGATATGTTTATTTATTTCATGCCCGAGGAACAAATCTGTGATAGCTCGATATATAAATATTTTCATTATGTCATGAACCAGTAAGTGGAGGTCAACTTCTATAGACATTCTATGGTCAAAGTTAGTGCCATATCGTTAAAGTAATGTGTGCCATGTGATTATGAAAAGACAGAACCCAGCTAGAAATTTGTTTCCTTGGAAGTTTGGAAGTTGTGGGAACATATGTTTTTGGTTTCACATTCAAATCAAATCAAATGTATTGGTCACATACAGATGGTTAGCAGATGTTATTGCGAGTGTAGCGAAATGCTTGTGCTTCTAGTTCTGACAGTGCAGCAATATCTAGCAAGTAATATCTAACAGTTCCACAACAAAAACCTAATCCACACAAATCTAAGTAAAGGAATAGATTAAGAATATATCAATATATGGATGAGCAATGTCATTATCAGAGTGGCATAGGCTTAGATGCAATAGATAGTATAGAATACAGTATATACAGTTGAAATCGGAAATTTACATACACTAAGGTTGGAGTCATTAAAACTTGTTTTTCAACCACTCCACAAATTTCTTGTTAACAAACTCTAGTTTTGGCATGTCGGTTAGGACATCTACTTTGTGCATGATACAGGTACTTTTTCCAACAATTGTTTACAGACAGATTATTTAATTTATAATTCACTGTATCACAATTCCAGTGGGTCAGAAGTTTACATACACTAAGTTGACTGTGCCTTTAAACAGCTTGGAAAATTCCAGAAAATGATGTCATGGCTTTTGAAGCTTCTGATAGGCTAATTGACATCATTTGAGTCAATTGGAGGTGTACCTGTGGATGTATTTCAAGGCCTACCTTCCAAACTCAGTGCCTCTTTGCTTGACATCATGGGAAAATCAAAAGAAATCAGCCAAGACCTCAGAAAAAACATTGTAGACCTCCACAAGTCTGGTTCATCCTTGGGAGCAATTTCCAAACGCCTGAAGGTTCCACGTTCATCTGTACAAACAATAGTATGCAAGTATAAACACCGTGGGACCACGCAGCCGTCATACCGCTCAGGAAGGAGACGAGTTCTGTCTCCTAGTGATGAACGTACTTTGGTGCGAAAAATGCAAATCAATCCCAGAACAACAGCAAAGGAACTTGTGAAGATGCTGGAGGAAACAGGTACAAAAGTATCTACAGTGAGGGAAAAAGTATTTGATCCCCGGCTGATTTTGTACGTTTACCCACTGACAAAGAAATTATCAGTCTATAATTTTAATGGTAGGTTTATTTGAACAGTGAAAGACAGAATAACAACAAAAAAATCCAGAAAAACGCATGTCAAAAATGTTATAAATTGATTTGCATTTTAATGAGGGAAATAAGTATTTGACCCCCTCTCAATCAAAAAGATTTCTGGCTCCCAGGTGTCTTTTATACAGGTAACGAGCTGAGATTAGGAGCACACTCTTAAAGGGAGTGCTCCTAATCTCAGCTTGTTACCTGTATAAAAGACACCTGTCCACAGAAGCAATCAATCAATCAGATTCCAAACTCTCCACCATGGCCAAGACCAAAGAGCTCTCCAAGGATGTCAGGGACAGGATTGTAGACCTACACAAGGCTGGAATGGGCTACAAGAACTGAAATCCTGCTGCGCCCGCACGGTCCCCCTGCTCAAGAAAGCACATATACATGCCCGTCTGAAGTTTGCCAATGAACATCTGAATGATTCAGAGGAGAACTGGGTGAAAGTGTTGTGGTCAGATGAGACCAAAATGGAGCTCTTTGGCATCAACTCAACTCGCCGTGTTTGGAGGAGGAGGAATGCTGCCTGTGACCCCAAGAACACCATCCCCACCGTCAAACATGGAGGTGGAAACATTGTGCTTTGGGGGTGTTTTTCTGCTAAGGACAACTTCACCGCATCAAAGGGACGATGGACGGGGCCATGTACCGTCAAATCCTGGGTGAGAACCTCCTTCCCTCAGCCAGGGCATTGAAAATGGGTCATGGATGGGTATTCCAGCATGACAATGACCCAAAACACACGGCCAAGGCAACAAAGGAGTGGCTCAAGAAGAAGCACATTAAGGTCCTGGAGTGGCCTAGCCAGTCTCCAGACCTTAATCCCATAGAAAATCTGTGGAGGGAGCTGAAGGTTTGAGTTGCCAAACGTCAGGCTCGAAATCTTAATGACTTGGAGAAGATCTGCAAAGAGGAGTGGGACAAAATCCCTCCTGAGATGTGTGCAAACCTGGTGGCCAACTACAAGAAACGTCTGACCTCTGTGATTGCCAACAAGGGTTTTCCCACCAAGTACTAAGTCATGTTTTGCAGAGGTGTCAAATACTTATTTCCCTCATTAAAATGCAAATCAATTTATAACATTTTTGATATGTGTTTTTCAGGATTTTTTTGTTGTTATTCTGTCTCTCACTGTTCAAATAAACCTACCATAAAAATTATAGACTGATAATTTCTTTGTCAGTGGGCAAACGTACAAAATCAGCAGGGGATCAAATACTTTTTTCCCTCACTGTATATCCACAGTAAAACGAGGCCTATATCGACATAACCTGAAAGGCCGCACAGCAAGGAAGAAGCCACTGCTCCAAAACCGCCATAAAAAACCCAGACTACGTTTTGCAACTGTACATGGGGAACAAAGATCGTACTTTTTGGAGAAATGTCCTCTGGTCTGATGAAACAAAAATAGAACTGTTTGGCCATAATGACCATCGTTATGTTTGGAGGAAAAAGGGGTGGCTTGCAAGCCGAAGAACACCATCCCAACGTGAAGCACGGGGGTGGTAGCATCATGCTGTGGGGGTGCTTTGCTGCAGGAGGGACTGTTGCACTTCACAAAATAGATGGCATCATGAGGAAGGAAAATTATGTGGATATATTGAAGCAACATCTCAAGACATCAGTCAGGAAGTTAAAGCTTGGTCACAAATGGGTCTTCCAAATGGACAATGACCCCAAGCATACTTCCAAAGTTGTGGCAAAATGGCTTAAGGACAACAAAGTCAAGGCATTGGAGTGACCAAGTTATACAATTTAAAGGCAATGCTACCAAATACTAATTGAGTGTATGTAAACTTCTGACCCACTGGGAACGTGATGAAAGAAATAAAAGCTTAAATAAATCATTCTCTCTAGTGTTATTCTGACATTTCACATTCTTAAAATAAAGTGGTGATCCAAACTGACCTAAAACAGGGAATTCTTACTAAGATTAAATGTCAGGAATTGTGAAAATCTGAGTTTAAATGTATTTGGCTAAGGTGTATGTAAACTTCCGACTTCAACTGTACATATGAGATGGGTAATGCAAGATATGTAAACATTATTAAAGGGGCATTATTAAAGTGATTAGTGAGGATAACACAGTGCCACCAACGAGGCCCACTACAAAGGACTGTGGCCTCTTCTTCTCCGTGGCCGACGTGAGTAAGACATTTAAGCATGTTAACCACCGCAAGGCTGCCAGCCCAGACGGCATCCCTAGCCGCGTCCTCAGAGCATGCGCAGACCAGCTGGCTGGTGTGTTTACAGACATATTCAATCTCTCCCTTTCCCAGTCTGCTGTTCCCACATGCTTCATGATGGCCACCATTGTTCCTGTACCCAAGAAAGCAAAGGTAACTGAACTAAATGACTATCGCCCCGTAGCACTCACCTCTGTCATCATGAAGTGCTTTGAGAGACTAGTCAAGGATCATATCACCTCTACCTTACCTGTCACCCTAGACCCACTTCAATTTGCTTACCGCCCCAATAGATCCACAGACATCACACTGCACACTGCCCTATCCCATCTGGACAAGAGGAATACCTATGTAAGAATGCTGTTCATTGACTATAGCTCAGCATTCAACACCATAGTACCCTCCAAACTCATCATTAAGCTTGAGGCCCTGGGTCTGAACCCTGCCCTGTGCAACTGGGTCCTTGACTTCCTGACGGGCCGCCCCCAGGTGGTGAAGGTAGGAAACAACATCTCCACTTCGCTGATCCTCAACACTGGGGCCCCACAAGGGTGCATGCTCAGCCCCCTCCTGTACTCCCTGTTCACCCATGACTGCGTGGCCAAGCACGCCTCCAACTCAATCATCAAGTTTGCAGACGACACAACAGTAGTAGGCTTGATTACCAACAATGACGAGACCGCCTACAGGGAGGTGAGGGCTCAGGGAGTGTGGTGCCAGGAAAATAACCTCTAACTCAACGTCGACAAAACAAAGAAGATGATCGTGGACTTCAGGAAGCAGCAGAGGGTGCACCCCCCTATCCACATCGACGGGACCGCAGTGGAGAAGGTGGAAAGCTTCAAGTTCCTTGGCGTACACATCTCTGACAAACTGAAATGGTCCACCCACGCAGACAGTGTGGTGAAGAAGGCGCAACAGAGCCTCAGGAGGCTGAAGAAATTTGTCTTGGCACCTAAAACCCTCACAAACTTTTACAGATGCACAATTGAGAGCATCCTGTCGGGCTGTATCACCGCCTGGTACGGCAACTACACCGTCCGCAACCGCAGGGCTCTCCAGAGGGTGGTGCGGTCTGCCGAACACATTACCGGGGGCAAACTACCCGTCCTCCAAGACACCTACAGCACCCGATGTCACAGGAAGGCCAAAAAGATAATCAAGGACATCAACCACCCGAGCCAC